CCATTTTCTCAGTGACCATACTGAATGTAAGCATCATTAGTTTTGTAAATATTTCATGATTATATAAAAATAAAATTATTAATATTTCCATTAGCATTGATTAATTAGTGAGATTTTAGTTTTTTTCCAAATGTTTATTAGTTTTTTTAATAACATGCCTATTAATGTTCTCACCCTAGTTTCCTAGATCCATGGATAATGCAGATGTTAAGAGCTCAAGAATCCATAATGTACATGTGCCATATTTTACCATTTTCCTATTTTGGACATTAATACTGATTCCAATATGGAGTCCATTATTAAATAATAGTGTGATGAACATCTTCATGAATAACCCACACATGCGCACATACATACACACACATACTTTAGACCTCACATAGGAATCAGTCCCAGAAGAAAAATCACTAGATGAAGAGAGAGAAATAGATGTAAACTGACTTTGAAACCATTTTAAGGAAACAGATACCATCAAGAGCACCCCAGTCTTCCTGATGCTACAGGCATTATTAGGTAATCGTTTTCCTTCCTAACGTGTGTCATTCTACGTCAAATGCTCCTGTCAGATGTGAGGGGGAACTGACCCACCAGGCACTGTCCTTCAAGACCACACACCCATGTCCCTGGTGGCAGATATCCCTGGCTACTCTCTCGCTGGCTCTGGCTTACACCCTGGGGCTCCGTGGAGCTCCTCATGGCTGACTTTCTGGGGTCTCTAATTCTGTAGTGTGACGGCTTCTTCTAAGAGTGTCCTTTTGCACTGCTGTGACCCGAAGTTGTCCCCTGGCTCCTGCACCTTCTACTGTTTGCTTATTTATCTCCACATGTGCATTCAGCTCTTCCCTCCCCTGTGCTTCTACCGGTGCTGTGAGCCCCAGGTGAGGCTTGGCAGATGGACATGGGGACAGTCTTGACTGAAAAATAAGCTTTTGCAGTGTCCCAGTGGTGTAGTGGTTAAGTTTGTGTGCTCTGCTTCGGCAGCCTGGGGTTCGTAGGTTGGGATCCTGGGCACAGACCTACGCACTGCTTGTGAAGCCATGCTGTGGTGGCATCCCACATACAAAATAGAGGAAGATGGACACAGATGTTAGCTCAAGGCCAATCTTCCTTAGCAAAAAGGGGAAGATTGGCGACAGATGTTAGCTCAGGCCTAATCTGCCTCACCAAAAAAAAAAAAAAAAAGCTTTTATTTGCTTTTTGTTATTTTTCAGTGTGCTAGGCTTTGCTTTTTATATCCATGTGATTGATTTGTTATTCTTTTTAGTGCAGTTCCTTCTCTTTTTGATATTGGTCCTAATTGATTCAATATTTGTCCAGCTCTCATGAATTTGTTGTGTTCTGTCCCGTCCAACTCACTGGTGGTGCTGTTTGAAGGATCAAGACACTAAATAAGGTCATATGGGTCACAATGAACGGTCTTGTCCTTGAAACATGGCATTTTGTGAGTTTGTGGACTGGGGCCCATGCCTTCTACATGTAAATAAATAAAGATAAGGCTGCCCAGGTGCCTCCTCCCTCCCTCCCTCCCCTCCAGACATCAACTCCACTGAGCGCAGACTGGGGACCTCAGGACCTGTGAGTCTCTGAGTCTTTTCCAATGTTACATGGCCCTTGTGGAATTGAACAAGGTCACCCATGTGAAACTGTAATGTGCAATACAGATAAAATAAGAGAATTTAATTATTTTCAAGACAATCATGAGGATTCCAAATACAGATACATCTGCCAAACTGACCTGCCTGGGGGAAGGGGAGGAATCAGGGGAGTTTAGAGGAAATTTCTCCTGACTGTAAGTTCCCCAGTATCAGGGATAGAGCCTGTTATGTGCCTGGCACAAATAGAGAGACCAACACTTGATGTATTGATGGATGGCCAGGCGGTACTTTCCAGCCCAGCAACACTGGAGCCCTCAGGTTACAAAGCTGCCATAACCCAGGTTGCCAGCAGGGGGCATCAGGCCAGGCTGAAAGGGACTGAGGCTGCTGAGTGACTCCACAGGCCATGGTGGCTGAGGCCCTGGGGGATGCTGGGCTGGCTGGAGGAACCAAACTGTCTCTGCTCAGGTGGGAAGTGGGTACTGGCCCCTCTGATAGGCATCAGGTGGGCTGGCAGATCAGGTATGACAGAAACATGCAATAGAGGAGAATTCACATGGGGCTTTTGGAAGTCTGTTAGGGAGGTGAGAGAGAGACTGGCTCAAGACAGGGTGGCCTGGAAGGGAAAGGAGCTGGTGGCCAGGGCAGTCACATGGACAACAAGTGCTGGAGTGGGACGGTCAGCCAGGGAGGAAGGTTGACTGAGCTCAGTGCTGGGCCCAGGACAGGGCAGGGAATGGGACCAGAGTGAGGGCTGGGGGCCATCGTAAGAGCGTCTGAGCCTCCGAATCTGCAGCTGGTCCTGGCTGTGGGAGAAGCTATTCTTGCTGGAGAGAGAGGCCCTGGAAGCAGGAAACTCAGTGCCCACGGCCTGGCCCTCTGGCCTCCTGGGTCCATGGAGTTGCTCCCCTTCGACTGCCCTGCTCCTCTCTCTGTCAAATTCTTGGGGGGTTGGTGATGGTGGTCGGCTTAGAGATGTTAAGAAATTTCTTGGGCCCAGAAAGGATCAATTTTTGGGGAAGAAGATTGTTGTTTTATAATGGGCAACCTTTAGACTCAGCCCTTGCATGTGGACTGGAGCCTTCACTTAGCTTTAGGCTGACTTTTGGTGAGGATATTGCTGATGGGATTCAAGGTCACCAGGATGGGGGCAGGGCACTGTGTGGAGCAACCGAGGGCCTGGGAAGGCAGGGGGAGGTGGGGCTGAAAATGGGTGTCACAGGGTGTCTGGCAGAGCCAAGGCAACAGGGGAGCCCTGTGTGCAGTCATCCAGCCCCTTCTGAGATCAACTGCACCCTGGGCTCCTCTCCTGGGCAGAGGTGAGTTAGTGAGGACACCAAGAAATGTTACTGGTTGTTAAGCTGGATCCAGAGACAACTCTCACTACTGCAGCCATTTTGTCTGATCTGCCCTTTCCTGAGTTGGAGTGAGAGATTTTAATTACTTGTCTTTGTAGCTTCACATTCTCTGCCTTCTATGAACAGCCCCCTTCCCAGCTGATAAGAGAGAGGCTCACACACTAATCTTTTAGTGAACACCCTTCTTTCCAGCCATCCATGTTGAGTGTCTATGTAGAATTGGACTTATTAATCTAGGTTTAGGATGGGAGCTGGGGTCTAGAAAGTTCTTGGGCTCAAATTGAGGAAAATCCCTGACTGTGCTGGGCAGAAGTGTCAGGAATACAGAGGGTTTTGTGAGATGGGCTGGAGCCTCTGGAATGGGGATGGTTACTCACCTGTCCCAGGCTTGGGGTGCAGAAGAAAGGCCAAGCAGAGCAGGAGCCGCTGCATCTTCCCTGAAGCTCTGCTCAGGTCAGAGCTGCTGGTGTTTCTTCCTTCCAGACACACGGTCCCCGAGGGGAAGGCAGTGGTGTGGCCCAGGACCCCACAGACCTCCTAGACCTGTGCTTCTGGTTTCCTTGCATCATCTGCAAGGTGGTTTGTCAAAGTTATCTGGCTTGCGGTAGATGACAGTAGCTCCGTCACCAGCCACACTTGCACTCTCAGTGCTGAGTCACAAGGTGAAAGCAAGAAGAAAGAACAAGAAAGCAAAACCTGTGCTGCAGCCAGCAGAGAAGCTGGACCCCAGAAGTCCCTCAGTGACTGAATCAAGAATGTCTCCATTTCTCAGCTCTGTTCTTTTCCAAGGATGGATGGATGAAGTCATGAATAATTACTTAGCAAGCTAGGTCAAGGGAGGTGAGCAACATGGCTCCTGCCCTCAGAAGCTGATGGTCAGCCAGAATAGACTGAGAATCGGTGGTTAGAGTACAGGCTGGTAAGGGCTGTGGTGGGGGTCTTCTTGCTGGTGTGAGATAGAGACTGGACCTGCCTTAGGAGCATGTAGAGCCGGACACACCCAAACAGCCCCAATGGTAACCCCGCTTCCCGTCTGACCACCATTCCAGCCTTGTATTTTTGGAATATTTGGAAACATGTCTTTAGGTGTAAATATTCTGCAAGAAAGAGAGCTTCCTTTATCCCACCATTTTGAACAAAGTCCTGACTTGATATTCATTGGGCCAAAACAAAGCATCATTGGGTTCATCAGAATTTAGTGGCCTGATTGGTTATACTTGGATCATTTAGCACACCTGGACCTGAGGTGGGGACTGTTCCACCCAAATCTTAGTGCCTGTCTTTTTGGGAAGGGGCTCCTCCTCAAGAAATGCTGGTTACTATTGCCAGGTGGTGGGGAAGTGGATGTCAATCATCCAAATAATTACTACCCACCAGGTATTCTCTGTCCAGGGTCCAGTGAACCACGGCTCTGATGTCCCTGGTCCTAACAATTATAAGCATTTGCAAACAGATTATCCCAACACTCTCACCAGTGTGCTGACAGATGAAGGAGTAATGGAAAAGGAAGTCATTATGAGTTCTAAATAGCCAAATCCCAATTCTGTTAAAGCAACAGCATCTTATGAAGACATAGAAAAAGAGGGAAAGGCAGAATGCTTAAGCATTAATGATGATGCTTGCTGGGTGGTGGAATTCTCAGTAATTTTAATTTTCTTATTGATACATTCTACCTTTAACTATCTTTCTATGATGAATATGTATTACCCTTCTACCCAATATACATTTTCCCGTAGTCAAAGCACACATCAAGGGCAAACATTCAGCAAACCACTTCTTCTTTCCAGTCTAACCTTCTCTAAGCTGGGTGTTTTAAAAATGAGATTACTTTTCTGAATTCATTGTTCTATACAAGATGTAGAGATTGTTGAAAAATAGAAGCAAAATTTCCTCAATAAGCTATACGCTAGGGTCAATTTTAGTGATAAAAGGAGGAATCAATGGTTTCTACTCTAGAGATGAAAATTTATTAAGTCCCTGGCAGCCTCTACTCCACCCGCCTCTGCACAGTGCAATTCTGGCCTCTGTCCCACAGAAGATGGATGGATCAATCCTGGGGGCACCTGAGTCTGGTCCCTGCTGCCTGAACTATTGTGCTTTTTATCCAGGGCAAAAAGCTTGAGATCCTGGTGAAGATATGTGGAGGTTTCCCATTTCTTTTTCCAAAGGAGACAATGCCCTGGGCCATGTTGTTACACACGAGGCGGCCCCTGGAGTCCCCCTGTGGACAGAGAAGGGAGAAGTCTCAGTCGATCCTCTGGCTGCCCCCTTCTCGGCTTCATATCCTCCCGGGTGCTCTCCTGCCCCCATCTCAGGGCCCAGCTGTTCGGATGGGTAGCGGCTGAGTGGTCACCATTCACCTTGGCTCTGAGTGTTAGGGAGATTGGTGGATGCTCTGTGATCTGTCTGCACCTTGAGCCTGTGTCCTGGCTGTGTTCTCTCTCCAGCTCAACCCAGTCCCAGGCCCTCCTCTTGTTTTCCCATGGACAAAGGCCAAGAGATTGGCTGGAGAAAGATGCCTGGGCCCCACATGCTAGGAACAGCATGCCTCCACCCATGAGTGGACCCAGGTCAACCATTGGCTTAGGGTGGGAGAAGGCCTGGCCTTGTCACCCCAGCATCACTGTGTCCCTGGGGCAAGGCTGGGAAGACACTTGTCTTCTTACGCTTGTAGTGGCCTTCTTGTTGTTAGGGTTCCTCACACACAGCTGGATGGAGTTGTAGTTTTTGAAGAGGTCCTTGCACTTCTGCTCATTCTGTACTTCTAGATCCATCTCCTGGAGTGTGTTTGCCTTTTTGCCACTTGCCTGTTTCCCATAGCCTGCCACACTGCACACCTGCCCCGGCCTCAGCCAGTCCTGGCTCTGCAGCAGAGTGATGGTCTTCACAGCCCAATTGAGTTGAGCCTTGTTTTGCAGCTGGTCAGAAAGGTGAGAGACGGCAGTTCAGGTCCCTCCCTCCAGTTGGGCTCAGAGCCAGGGATGAGGTTGCTTGTACCCCACTCCACCAGAGTCTCCCGAGCCCCCTTCTATTACATTGACCCAGTACAGCAGACAGGTGGGAGGAGAGGAGGGGACTGAGACCCTGAATGAGCTGTTTGCTCCCTTGTAACCTGTGTGAGTGCACCTGAAATTCAGCAAGCTGGTACCTTCAGTAGCCTGATGTCGTTGACCTTTGAATTATCGTTGTGAGGGAAGGATTTGAGCACAGGAATGACCTGCTGGCTGTTTTCCATTTTTCTGATCTTGTGAGCACCCAGGATGACACTTATTTTTCTGTGAAGAAAAGGTGGATTGGGTGAGTCACAGGAGATACGGCTCAGTCTGTGAGAGATAGATTGAAGTTCCAGCCAAAGGTGCACCTACAGCTGAGTCAGACAGGGAGGAAGGGAAAAGTGAACAGTGTCACTATGCTCTGCTGCGTAGCAGTGACCCAGCCTGGTTCTTCAGCAGCCTGTATGTCACCCAGGCCTCTGTCCACACGCTCCACCCCTGAATCCCACACTCACTGTGTCCTGGCCTGAGCAGATCAGATTGCTCCTCTGATTGGTCATTGGCTCTCTGTGCTCAGGGACCTTCTTGAGTTACAGGCCCTGGGACAGTAGCTGGGGTTTCCAGGAAGACAAGGACTCACTTGGGCTCCTCACCTTCCATTACAGTGAACTGCTCCCAGCACGAAGTTGTCTTGTACCAGGAACCTTTCGCATTTGCTCCCACCACCTATGTCATTGTAGGAAAGTACAGACACCATGTGGGGCCGGGAGTGTGGTCTGGCCTCTCTGCCCCATCTGATCTTCCCTGAAAGAGAAAATTGCTGGATCTCTGTGTTCATGGCAAACAGTGGCTAGTCACTGCCTGGTGGCCTAAACCCATGGGATGTTCAGAGGCTGGGGTGGTTGTATTGTCCTCAGGGACCCAACACAATGAGATGGGACTGTGGGCTTCAGAGGGCAGCTGGCATGCTTGCAGCAGGACTTGTTTCCTAGCTTTGTTCTCAGTTTCCTCCTGCAGAGATGAGGCACTCAGCCCTTGTTCTGGAGCAAACACACTTCATATACATGTTAAGGGGACTGTCCTAGAAGCCCTGGAAATTACTTTCTCTGACCTACCCTGGTTGCTTCTTTGTCTCTAGCTTCTCAGACTCCTGTGTCCTTACTTCCAGAATGAGCCTAATCTGAGACCTGAACATTTTGAGCTCACGGAGCTGAATACTATGCCTTCTTTCCCCCTAATCCTTGGTCAGGCACGTAGTACATACCCCAGAAATGCTTGCTGGGTACATGAATGAACATTCCTCAATTTGCTCTGGTCAGCAGCCAGGGAGGAGCAGTCCTTATTCAATCTGAACCCCGGCACAGATTTATCTTTCTAAGGCATTGAGCTCTCAGGTCTAAGAGGGCAGAGTACAAAGGTTGGGAAGTCAGAGTGAGATGGGGAAATGTGCAGGAGGGGGCCTGGGTAGAAGCCAGTCTCCACTAGGGCTGTGGGCATAGTGCTGAGACAACACTCTGATGGCTCAGTTAGTTTCTGAGTATCTGCTCTGGTAGAGCTGAGTGTCTCAGCAGAATCAGAACAAGGTGAGTGTGACACCCATGTAACTGAGTATGAGCTAGCTCTTCTAGTCTTGATCCAGAGGATAGCTCCTGGGTTAGATAACCACTCTTAGCTTTGTAGAATGGGGCATTATATCCCCCATTTTCAGCTTTCCCCCCAACAGAATCATGTGCTATTCTAATATTGTCACTTTCCAGGTGACAGGAGTATGACCCATAGAAGGGACAAGACTCACCAGGTCTCTCTGGGGCTAATTTTATTTTCCACAATTTCTCTGCATTGCATATCTGGTGATAGATCATGGGATCAGCAAATTTTGGGAATGGACTGAAGGAGGGGAGGATCATAATGACAGCCTCACTGGGACACTGTGGAAGTGTTGGTGTTGGAATAAGCCAGGCTTCTGAGGATCTCCAGGGGCATTTACCTCCTTCAGGCCTGGAGGGTAGGAGATTGACCAACAAGAACAGAAGCAGCAGCATCTTCTCTGAAAGGCTGATCAGGTCTGAAGTGGTGTGTGCCTTCTCCTTCCAGGCTTTTCAATCCTAGAGGTGAAGGAAGAAGGGGCTGGCTCAGTGACCACCAATTTCCTCCCAGTTCTATTGCTTCTCAAGATTAGAGCTTTCGTCACATCCCTCTTCCCCTCACAGAAAAGGGCTGTGTGGTGAAGGTTTTGCAAGAGCCACATTCTTAGGAGACCACATTCTCCAGGAGAAAATCCTGAATTCTCTGAATGGAGATTTGTGGGGCATTTGGGATTAGCCAGAAAATGTGTCCTCTTCCCCTAAGTGAGACCCTCCAAGATCATGAATATGACCCCACCATGCCTTGAATTTGTGATTAGGTAACTGTCTACTTCCTAAAATAGCATGCATCTATGCAATCCTACTCTTTGTAGAGCTTCATTCTTTTGATAGCTCAAGGTTCTTTTTTTTAATAGATACTAAAAAACCAAGCACTAGTCTCTCCTAAAACACACTAGCCATGAGCCTAGTCATCTATTCACTTTGTGGTAGTTTCAGGCACTTGCAACCTGTTGGGGGTGGGGGTGAGGAGCAGAGATTGGGGATGAAGTGTAGATGGGGCATTGATGAGAGTACTAGGAAGAGAAGGTAATGACAGAATAGGAGAGTCTGTGAGGAGGGGTTTGACAGAGAAATGCACTTGAGTTCACTCTGTGATCCCAGGTTGCCCTGATAAAGCTAATGTTGTTCTCAACTTCTTGATGTTTCAAAGACCCCAGAGTGAAGTAGTTGGGGACATGCAGATATAGACTGAAACAGGAGAACCAAAGCTTTGCCACTCATTCCGAGTTTCCTTGGTCACTCCTCTCCCCCCCTGGCGCAGGTAACCTGGTGCCCCAGTGAAGACCATGATGTAGGCAAAGGTCATACCCCCGAGGCTCCCTGTCCCTGGTGAGGAATCTGGCATGGTTGTTCCCAGAGTTCTCTGCACACAGGTGCTTGAGGGCTGTCAGCTTTTGGACAGGAGAAGTTTCAAGTTATGATGCTGCTTTGAATACAAGCATTCACCCTGACAGTTTAAATTGTTTTTCTTTGTTCTTATATAATTTAATAAAGATATGTGAAGTCTTTGGAAGAATTATCTCAAACTGAGCATAATGCTTATGCTGCTTTTGCATCTGTTGGATCAGTCATTTCCCAGAAGGTGGAACATGTCAAACATCTCATTTTCATTCTGTGTCCCAGACGTGGCTGTTCCTTTTAGGGGATATCACTGTTCTCCTTCCTTTGATGACTTAGGCCTCCTCTTCACCCTCAATTCGGAAACCACAATATGTTTAGCAATGTTTTAATGATTTATTAATTAAATGTGTGTTCATACCTTGGGTTATTATGTACCCATTAAATAATATTTATGAAGTTTTGGAAGCGTAGAAAATTATAGACGGTAGAATGTAATTTTGCCCCAAAGCAGTTGTTTATCATTTGAGTGCATCTTGTCACAGAGACCCGTGAGAGTTCTTACAATTTCCGTAGCTGGTTTCCTGTACTTTTGGCTGTGCTATCATGTTTTTCTGATAGATAACTCTCCTCTGAGCTATTGGGACATTATCTCGGGCTACATGTCTACCCCACAAACAACTCAGACCCCTGTTCTCCCAGGGTTCCCCCTGGATCCAGATTATATTGGCAGGCAGTTCCCTCTTTCTGATCTTCTTCTCTCTCGGCCCCCTGTCTCATTGGACCGACACCTAGCTGATCATGACTCTGCTGCTCTGGCCAAGGGCAGAAGGCACCAGTGCCTGTGCTAAGCCATCGTGTCTGGAGAGAAGCTTGGCTGCTCTCCTGAGGCTCTCATTACTAAATTTGTAGTTGCTTTAGAACTTTTCAGTGAGCGGAAAGAGAACAGAAAGAGGGGAAGTGAACTGAGTGTCTGAGATGTCTGGAACACTGCATGCAATATATGTCTAATGGGAGTCCCAGAGGAAGAGGAGAGAGAGAAAGGAGAAGAAAAAATATTTGGGAAACTAATGGCTGACAATTTCTCAATTTTGGTCGAAATAAACCCAAAACAAACCTAAATCATTAATGTAAACCCAGAAGAAGCTCAGTAAACTCCAAGTAGGATAAAGTATCACAGAAGAATGGGCAAGATTTCCCCCATTCCTCCTTCCCTTCTACCCTAGATATCATGGTCTCATTTACAGTCCAGCTTTCTCTTCAGACAGCCCCTCTGGCTCATTCTTCCCACAGCTGCTACTTGTATATCATGTTAGCAGGGGAGAAAAGCCAGGATGGAGACGCTTCTGAGTCTGTGACATCGACCAGACATGATGCCTCTTCTGCTTGACCTAGAAACCTGAGTGCTCAAAGGAAAATGTAGCTCCAAGGATGCCATACAGGTGCAGAGGAGATCGCTGCCCACTTTCTACAAAAAGTATTTCCTACCATTAGAGCTTTATTCCTTTTGTATTTTTGTATTATAAGAGATTCACTTTTACTACTACTTTGTCAATTGTGGCAAAATACATATAACATCAAATTTAGCTATAACCTTTTTTTTTTTTTTGGTGAGGAAGGTTGGCCCTGAGCTAACGTCTGTGCCAATCTTCCTCTATTTTGTTTGCGGGATGCTGCCATTGCGTGGCTTGATGAGAGGTGTGTAGGTCCATGCCCAGGATTGGAATCTGTGAGCCCTGGGCCACTGAAGCACAGTGTGTGACCTTAACCTCTACACCACTGGGCCAGCCCCTATTAACCATTTTTAAGTGTACAGTTCAGTGGCATTAAGTACATTCGCATTTTTGTGCAACCATCATGACTATCCATCTCCAGAGCTTTTTCCTTTTCCAAAATTGAAACTCTAAACTCAATAAACAGGAACTTACCATTGCTCTCTCCTTCTAGTCCCAGGGAATCATCACTCTCCTTTGTGTCTCCATAAATTTCCAAGAGATTCTAATGTAAATGAAAGAAGCTTGAGCATGGTCTCATCTTAAACCTTACACCTTGTTTATCAATTAGACCTTATTAGGCAGTAGGCCAACTCTAGGCAAGCAGAGATTTGAAGAGAAGTGAAAGACAGAGAAAGAGCTGGGGAGGTGGCAAGCAATGGCAAAAAGCCTGCCTGAATTCATCCTTCTGCCCTCAACTACTAGGATGAAGGCAAGGTTCCTCCTAACTTCTCCTGAATGTGTTCAGGTGGGACAGAGAAGTCTGGCTTTCCACACTTTTGGGGATCTTGGAAGATAAAGAGAGAGAGAAGCAAATTTCTTCATCTGAATGGGGTATTGATGTCATCAGGGACAACTGAGAGGAGCTTGAAGCCTAGTGAGGGATTCTGTTCTTGCTTGCAAGGAAAGAACAGCCCCAGTGAAGAGTGACTGCCTCCACCCGGGCTCTGCTCCCCTGCCCTTTCTACACAACTCACTGTCCTGAGAAGTAGGAATATCAGTGCCATTGCCTCCAGAAAGCACATCCCTATTCTGATCCTCAGTGGAGCTGCTCAGTAGGGTGGAGGATGGGATCTTCTTCCACTTGTCCGGTCTCCTTCACTACCTGAGAGTTTAGCTTGGCTTGAGGTGTGAGAAAGCTTAACTTGAGGCTGAGTCTAGGGGGTCCTGGCCTGGGTCTCTGAGGAGAGTTCTGGAAACCAGAGGACAGGTCTGGTGGCCAGAAGACAGGTTGTTTAGAGCCTGGGATAGTCTGTGGAGGTGGAGATGGTGGGGAAGGG